GAAAGAAACACATTGAGTATAAACAGGAAAGAAATGTGTGTGTGTGTGTCTATGTTTGCAAGGAATACATAAACCCCAATCCAAACCAAGTTGGAACCCTGTCCACATATATATACAGTAAACATCTATAAACTCACCCCTACCAGTTCCGGTCGGACCAAGTATGTACTGCTCCCGTTTTCATGATCGACCTGTCCTGGCCTGTCTTTCGTTTTTCCTTCCAGGTTGGCCTGGTCCGACTGAGCCCATGTGCTCCAAACGCTTCGAACGAAAAAGGACCTCTCAAGCTCCCCACCTCGCTGCCCTTAAGGGTCCCCCACCGGTCACCCACAGTCGTCCGACCGAAGAGCGCCAGTCCAAGGCTCTGGCTCTTCATGTGGCCCTGCGGCGGCCAACAGAGGAATTGCACCGGTACCTGCCAGTTCCGGTGGCACGACGTCAACGGACGCCAGCCAGTTCCGAGGTTCGGGGCGGAACGGACGTGGATGATGGGGCCTGGTTGCAGGCCCTCCTCAATTACAGAGTGAAGGCCTCTTTGATTGACTCAAAACCAGGTCATGGGACACACGCGAATCACATCAGTGGGGCCAGTGGGGCCAAGGTCCTCCGACGCACCGCTGGCTCACCGGTGTGTTGCGCTGGACCGGACAGTGGAAGGAGTTCACCACGTTCGTAGAGGAAGAAAAGCGGTTCCAGGAAAGGGACCATGCCATCTATCCGCTCATTTCAGGATTCCAGGGAGGGTAACCTTTCCCAGAACTTCCGTTTTGACTCATTTTACCCCACCTTCTGGTCATAATCCACTAGCAGGCCAGAGTAAAAGGAGGAGCAACCAGGACTCTCAGGGAAAGGAATCAACCGGGCCACGGTCGGTCTCCAAGCTCCTTTTGCCGGAGGCCACTGGCACCAACTGACATCTTTGTGGCCGGCAGTCAGCTTGATGGGAAGCCAAGAGCTGTAGCTGGGAGGCAGAAGAGCACACCAAATCCTTAGATTGCAAGACTTATATCTTCCTAAGATGTAAGCAGGAATTCTAGCAGAAACCTTTTGGGAAGACTCAAGGCTGGGTGAAGACGGCTTCTGGGTCTGGGCCTCACAACGGAGTTAGTTCTCCGAACATTCAACCTTGTCAGGTCACCAAACACCTATACCGCCTCACCAGGTCACCCTCCAGCACCCCAAAATCTGCGTCACCCACATGCCACTTTTCACCATGGCACCTTCGGTCGTCGCCCAAACGACACGACGGGGTCACCGGGGGGATCCGCATCGAGCAGCTTCGATGCGGACCGGGGCGGCACGCTTGGGGGGTGCGGACCAGGCGTTAACGCTGGCAAGCCTACAGACGAACTGGGAACTCCTGACCGAACATGAACTACTTGGAGTGGGTCATACTTCCGTTCACATGATATACTTATAAGGTATATATGAACAGCTCTAGGACCTAGGTCAGTTCCTGGACTTGCTCGGTCAGGTCAGCTTGCTACTGAGTCCGGGGGGGCAGGATCTTCTTTGCTTGGCTGTCGAAGGGTCGTCCAGGTCCCCCGGGTCCCGCGGTGGGTGTTTTAAGGGTTTACATCGACCCGCGGTCACCAATTGGGTTTGGAAAGGAAAGGTCTATATACGTCTTTCCATTGGATTTCCCATCGTTTCCTTCCAGTTTCTTTTCTTGGGGGAGTGTCTCCCTGTCTTAAATACACACCCATGGTCCAGTCCCATATATATGGTGCCATAGAACACCCTCGGAACCTCGACAAGCCCCAGCAGCACCCAGCAGTCGTCCATTCTCCGCGACCTCCACGTCCTCGGTGTGCCCGGTCCATGGCACCAGTCGCAGCACGAGCCGTCGGCCATGCAAGCTCTGGACCAAGCTGGGCGCCAATTCGAGCTGTTCCTAGGATCGCCCCGGGGACTCGTGGCCGCGCCGGCCCACCATTGACTTCAATACCCGAACAAGACCGAACAACCAGCTGTTTTACAGTACAAAACCAGATTGATCAATCGATCGATCGATCAATCCATCCATCAAAGGGATGAACCTCTTCTCTCATTAATCAATGGGTTTTGAGTCAACCGCGGGTGAAGATCCAATGGGACATGACCCGAGCCCCATTTCGACTGCTTTTGGGAACCCTCGTTGCTCTACGCCTTTTGAGGCAGCCGTAACTGAAGGGTCGATGGGCTCCCGGGCCGATCAGCCAGGTCCTCCGACCCGAGGTCCACTCCGACGGTTCCACCGAAGCGGTGGAACGATCGACGACGGTATAGGCAGCAAGCTCGACGGTTTACACGGTGTGTGTCAAGTCGAGCGGTTGAGGATACAGGCTTTGCTGACCAGATGGCAGTTTGGCCAGGATGTCAGACATGGGATGAATTCTTGTTGAGAGATTGAGCTCAAGATCAGACCAACTATAGGAACATATAGTAACTAGGCTCAGCCAACGAGAACCAAATCCAACAACTGAAGGATGGTGAGTTGATGTGTTGACCCCTTGTGAACCGGGATGAGTAGATTGAGATGATGCCAAAAATCATGGGAAGGCAATTGCATCATTCATTCGTCAGCAACCAAAAAGGAACAGCATCAGTGGTTTTCACCATCCTTTCCCACTGATCCACCAAACATCAACACCCCCCTTTGCCACAGCTGAGTGCTGCTCATCTGTTCATGACTTTCATGTGGATGGGGGTCCAAAAACGTTCACCTCCCCGCAAGGAAAGACAGGTTTTTAGTCTACCAAACTCCAGGATTGGAACAGTCTCCTATTTCTTCCCTGAGCCGCGCAGCAGTGGAACCACGACTGCCCCCGACTCTCTCAGCCGCCCCGACTCTCTCAGCCGCCCCGACTCTCTCAGCCGAGCGTCCAAGCGGACCTCCTTCAGCTCCGGACACGCCACAGGGGGTCGCAACGGACACGGACACGCCCGCGGCACGTCTCGACACCTTGGGGCGGCGTCGGTTCAACCGGGGGGGGCGAAGGTGCTAGATTCTCCAAAGTCAAGAGTGGGCACGATCATCAACTTTTTGATGATGTGTCTATTTTGGAATGTTGGAAAAACGTTCCATGTTGGTTCGGGCCCGGAGTTTTAGGGCCGGCAGCTGTTGGAAGAAAGACGCAGCGGTCAAAGGCGAAGCGGCACGCACTTCGCACCACGGGAACTAAGGTCAGACTTCGGCCAGCTTCAGCATGTTCTGACTGATGTTCTTACCCTAGACCTTCTTACCCTATCTCCTCAGGTGGGTGGGACATGACCCCCCAGGCTCTGACCAAAAAACCACCTGACCGAAAGGAAAACGGAGGTGGGCCAGGAGCCCTTGGGGTTAGATCAACAGGCCGGTCTGGCCATGTGTTTTGCCGGCAGAGGCACCGAAGGAACGAACACCGGTGAGGGTGGACATGTTGCAGAGACCGACGGAGCCGCACTGACCCAGTAACTTAGAGAAGTGGGACATGAGCCGAACCAAAAACCAGGTACTTGTCAATTGTACCCAGTTCTGAAGTACTTTGAGACTCCAGGTAGGGGTCTATGTTGCTCTGCCAGATCTTAAAGAAGCCTTCAGAACACCAGACAAGAGGGATAGCCTGACAGTCGACTGCAGTCCAAGGACGCCAATTCACCTCCAACCTCTGCAAGAGCTTCCAAAGAAGTTCGTGAGAGCTGCACTCGCTTTCTTCCAAAATAGCAAGCACCCTCCGCTCTCCCAGATTTTCCCACAAAGACTCATCTTTTCACCCCACCTCACCAGCCACACCAGACCAGCACACTCCCAGCAGTGGGCAACACCAAAGGCACAGTCCCACCCGGGTGACTTCCGCCACCGGCTCCGCCGGCTCCGCCGGCTCGGCCGCCACCTGCGGCCCTCCATCACGTCCCAGCAAGGCCCGCAGCCGCCGCGCGCGGAGCGCCAAGGTTTCCAGGCGCATGGTCCGGTCGGGCTCCATGGCGGGCGTGGCCAGCAGATCAGGTGAGGCCAAACATGTTAGTTGCCCAAGTTGCAGGATGCTGAAAGGGAATTCCAGGCTTCAATAGCACAAGCTGGCTGTTGTACATGATGATATCCTGAGACCAATCTCGTCTTTGATCTCGTCTTTGTAAGGCAAAGTTCCCCTTGGAAGGCCTTCTTTGTGGAAATCGCAGTGCGGGGTGGCGAGGCAAATGCGTGCAAAGCAGGGTGTGGTGAGGTACCTTTGGTGGTTTCCCCTTTGGGATGGCTTGTTGTTCCCAGGGAATGCCTGCTTCCTGCAAGGTGATTGCACACATCACATCGGCAAGTAAATCTTCAGGTGGCCTTTGGATCACAATCTGTTGGGTTGTTTCCCACGAGTCTATGATTGGTAAGAATCGCCCGAGGCTTCCAAGCACCATTGATTCAATGGCGCCTTTACCCCACCACCATTGTTCTACTAAGGATTTCACACTACAGGTCACCAGGTCGTTCCCTTTTTTTTCAATGCTCTTCCTGGAAGGCGATCGGGATCATATCATGCTGTGTGGTGTATGGTTTGGGCCAACAAAGCTCCCAAGAGCAGCTTAGAATTTTGCTTCTTTGCTTCCCCCACGCAGAGTGTGAGCCACCACTGGAGAGAAGGGGTGGGAAAACCCTGGTCGCAAAAAACCTTTCACAAAAAATAACACACCTTTAGCGATGAGTGGCTCTCCAAGCCAATCTGTGAACACCGCCCCACAAGGCCAACCGAGGAAGGCGGGGGAACCGGTGTCTCACCTGAAAAGTCCTTTGGATTCTCACACATCTTCCACGAAGGGTCACCAACTTCACTGCTCCTCAGGGCGCCTAGGTTGCTTGGCCGTTCCCTCGAGTTGAAAGACTCTTTTAGGACTGCACGTGGATTCTCCAAAACGATGGTTTACTGGGAGTCGCTTCTGGCAGGTGACCCTTGGGAGTGGCTTCTAGTCATGAAGCCATGATGTGTTGGTGATCTGTATGCCTGAGCATCAGGCTGACTGATTCTTAAATAACACACTCTTATGGAGAACATCTACAGACCGGAAACTTCTAGATCAACTGCTTGAAATGACACAGCCCCGCACAAGTGCAGGCTTCATGCCACCAGAAAGCTATGCAGCTATGCTCCACTGGATCTCACCGGTATCGGTGGGCAGACACCAGGAAAACCCCCAAACATACCGTAGACTCTTGATGTGAATATATAACCCCCCCCAAACATGGATTGAAAAAACCTCTTCAAATGGGAGTTTCATTCGTTGTCCACGTTGTATCTCTTCGAAGCATCTCCACCTACTGGGGACGGGTCATGGCGAAAGAGCCTTCCCCAAGGCTCGCGGCTTCATGTAGCGAGTCTTCCGGACGTCGGTAGGTCAACCAAGCTCTCCGCCTGTACGCCCCACAGTCCCCAAAAACCTCCAGGTAAACCATCCCAAGTGATAGGCCTTTCTATGGCAGTCCCGTGGGTCGTGTCTAAAACACCCCCGTGTTTTGGGGAAACCCTGGCTGAAGCCGACGTCCAAGGTCACACCTCCTGCAGCCACTCGAGGACCCTCTGCCAGGCACGCTTCTCCACTTGGAGCGGCAAGTCCGGAGCGCTGCCACCTCCGACGAACCCGAACGCGTTGCTTCACGGCGTGTGGGTGATGGAGTACCTCTATCACTGTGGTCCACAGTCTTCAGTGTGCCAGTGCTTGGGCGCCTTAACCCCTGAACTCAAGGGGTCATGGGGGAGAACCGCCTCCCGAAGACTCCCAAAAAAGACTCCATCTACTGGCGAGGAGGGCGACACCTCCCAGAATGTCCCCACCAAGTGCGTCGCACCCGGAAAAAAACAAGGGTTCACTCCTTGCTTGACACGAGCAGAATCGTGATTTTTGTCACGGGTCCGTGGCAGTGAACAAGGACCATGAAAAAAAGATCCAAAGACGCCACATGGAAGCGATGAAGACTCAGGGTGTGGTCACCGGAACCCAGTCCCAACCAGAGACAGTTCTGTTTGTTCCGAGATGGCAGTACACTGTGTCCGGCAGAATACACAAGAACAGTACCCTAGGCGTTCCCACCATTGAGAAACCGGACCTCATCCAGGTATGTATGGTGTCCTGCTGCGCAGGAAGCTGGGCGTTCTTTCATTCCATCTCATCCACCGCGGTTGGGACAAGCACCGCGAAGGTTTCGTTCGGGGATCTCCGTGTTCGGATGAACTGCTCCTCCGCCGTGGCAGTGAAGAACCGTGGTGGGTCGAAGCGGAACGAGCGTGTGAGGTCGGACGGTTAGGAGTGTGGATGGAATCCTAGGGCTCCAACCACCACCGTTTCGAAGGTGGTTGAGGTAAGTTTGGGGGGTCTAACCACCTTCTGAGGATATAGTTGGAAGGTCTAGCGGAAGATCTGATTGAGCAGATGAAAGGCCCATGGTTTCCACCTTTAACTGGCGTGGTCCATTGTTCGGCGTCACGAGGAAACGCTGGGCCTTTCATGGAAGAGCTTCACCCATTTTTTCAATACACTATCACTCACTATATAAAATTATACGTCAGCTCCAAAACTTCTCATGTCCAATTCGGGACGGTTCACCGTGAAATCCAACCGCGTAATCCCGCGTGGCGTTGAGGGAATCCTCACGTCGTCCAACCGTGCGCGGCGCTCGGCTCACGTGCTTCGGCCCACGGTGCCTGGCAGGTCCATCCAGAAGATCTCATCCTCCAGCCTCGGCCGGTGCTGCAGAGGGCGGTGCTGCGCAGAGCGCGCCCCAGCGCCCTCTGAGGCACACCAGGAAATCGATGAAACAAAACCGGTTTTGTTTTTTTGGGTAGCTGAAATGGAGACTCGTTGAAGTGGCAGGTGGTGACCTGGCAGGTTTCGGGTGGAGTGTGGTTTGGTACCGAAGAGCGGCATCTCCACCCCGTTCTTTCGGGGGGAGTCGGGAGCCCACTAGAGAGGAGTTGGAAAGAACTGACGCAGGAACACTTTCAACTGAAACCCGAGTCAAAGACTATACATTTTGAATGGTCTTTATGGGATCTGAAAGGGAATGTCGTAATGCTGAAGACTGAGGGAAAGTATAGTCTTTGGACTTCCAGTGGAAAATGAGGCGATGGAAGACCACCTGGTCAACAATTGAGTTGTGCAAATTAGGCAACAGCTGTTGCCTCGCTCATGTGCATTTGACAATTGGGTCGGTGCCACGAAACCCCTTGGTACCATAAACCTATATTGGTTGTACCTTGGGTCTATCCCACCTGTAACCGTGGATGAGAATGGTTAGGTTGCAGGACTGGTCCAAAAATCGTGATTTGCTTGTTTCCCGACTGATTACAGGTACTAGGACAGACCCAACATATCTTGGTCTTGTAAAGCACCAGGTTGTACGTGATAACTTGGTTACTTGGCTAGTAAAGCACCAGATCCTACAGCTATATCGGACAGACCCGTACCCTTGTACCCATCACCTTGCCCCAATGGGTCGCCGCGCTACGCCGTCGCCGCGCTACGCCGGTCACAAAAACGACGACAGCCTGTCAAGACACTGGGCGACCTCCTCTGCCGTCTCCAGAGACAAGAGCCGCGCCAAGGCCAGCAATCCTGTCGACCGTCGTCTCTTCGGACCCACGGAGCCCCCACGACTCGTCGGTCGCGAAACGGAGGACGTGTGAAGCGTTCATGTCGGTTGACGACATGGTGAGACTGGAAGAAAGAAAAGGACCGAAACGAAACGAAACAACGGGAACAGTCTATGGTGTCTATGTGGTCTATTGATGTCTATGGTGTTTCTCTACATGAGTGGTCCGAGTTTCATGTGTCTTTTGCATGTCCGTGGAGCCATTCACACCTGATGTGTATGTGAAAGCGCCAAGAAGCTTTCAAGAAGATCAGGTTGATTCTGGATTCGCCTCCCTGATACCAAAAACGAATCTGCAAGTGACATCAACCTGGCGACTTTGGAAATCTTCAACAACTCGTCACTGCAATCAATGTAGGCGGTTGATTAATAGAAAAACCCTCCATTTGGGATTCTAAAGCCTCTTCATCACCTCCCATTGCGGTCCGTCCTGAATGAGTCCCCTGTTAGGACAAGACGCGCATCACTGCGGACACTCATGATCTCACAGCGGAATTTGTACAGTGAAAAGAAGAACCAAACCGAACCACTACCACACAAGAAATCATCCTGATCCAGTCAACGGAATCTCCCAAGAGGAGAGCAACTTCGAACAGCCAGCGTCCATCATCTGCGCCAGTCCATTGAGTTCATCGAAAGTAAAGTAAGGGACAGAACCAACAATCGCACCCTGGGGGAAAGAACGCCCCTCCGATTTCCTGGTCTGCAGACAAGTATAGCCGGGAAAAACCTGGTGGTCAGGAATTTTGCCAATGTAAACAAACATCCTGCGCAACCAAAAGGAAAGATCCCGAAAAGTGATATTGTCGCCACAACAAGCTTCAAGATTGTATCCACGCTTCTGAAATAAAAATGCAAGTTCCATGTAGGAAGTGCAAAAAGCTTCACCAACCTTCCATGCCAAAGCTCGAGCAAAGCGAAGAAAAGTTGCGATGTCTGTAGGAGAATGCTGGGAGAACCACGGGCCTGAAGTGTCTAAGACATGCTCAAAACGCCATGGAAAGTCAGCAATATTCTGTTTCCAGTCCCAACGGCCAAACTTCCGTTGGAGGCAAGTATTGTCCGCACACACGGGGATCTCATCAACAACCACCGTAGTGGAAACCTCGGGAGTAGAAAGTTCGTTTAGTTGAGCCAAGAAATATTGCCTTGCAAAAATAGCATGTTGCATCTGGGAAAACATTTGAACCTCTACAGGAAGAGAGGCGGCTGCAATCTGCTTGGCTGCAAGGTCAGCCTTGCGATTACACAAAATGTTTTGTACTGTTGTGCCATGTTGAGCTGCAAAGGCTGGAGAAATAAGAAAGTCAGGGATGTCATCGCCAACATGTGATGGGATCCAGAACAAACGCACAGGTTGGCACCCATTCACGTCCCTGGCACAGTAGATCTGCAA